TTTCTCGCAGTTGTGGTTATGTTTATGTTGTTGACAAGAAGGTGTATTCTAGGCACTATTGCAGGTGCGAGAACTGAAGAGACTGCAGCGCCAGAGTGACTACCGACCTTCCTGTATAAGGTACTCGCATTACAATCTCGAAGAAAGTGATCTACGCCAGCCATGCAATTTCGGTTTATTGCTACCATGAAGAGGAAGCAAGCCAGACTTGAAGACATCGTCAAGGGAGCGACAACCCCACTGCTTACAGAGCAAACTGTTTGCGATAAGCAAGGAATCACTCTGATGTGCGATTGGAGGAGGAAAAATTTATAGTTTGCTATTTTTATGAAGGCTTGAGAGAAATGTAAAGGGACAACTGGAAATGAGGGTGAACGAGTGTGCTGGCGTTAGCTCTAATTTAGCTAGATACTTCATCTTCCAGTATAGCTAGGTGACGCAGACATTTTCATATTTCGGCGTCTTGACAGTTAGGTGGTTTGATTTTTTGACATTTTACACTTTCGGTATCTTGTATAATCGACTTTTCTGATTTTTCGGTGTTTTAAATTTCGGCATTCCAAAAGTTCTTCATTTTAATTTTCGGCATTTCGAGTGCCACATTATTATAGCTTTAGTCAACAATAAATGCGAACCCTACCCAGGTGCATTTAAACCACGTGCAGCTCTCCGCTTACCGGGAAGTGATACCAAACTGTGCGACAAAAGCAAAGAATCCATAAAATAAAAAAAATGTTGCATGACAGAGAAGTCACAGTTATGAACTAACTGAATAGTATTTGAGAGACCATGTTTAATTAACCAGTAATCATGTGTTGGTTTATAATTGCAACTTATCCACCGCGAAGCATACCTTTTTTTATTTTCGCGGATTCTTTGCATGATCGTTGTGCTGTATCAATTTATAAATCTTCGGGTGTAATTAACGAGGAGCTTGGCACGTCGGTATCCCTTCAGAGTGTCACAAGATGTCCACGTGGTGCACTCTAAAAGTATTCGAATTCCTCGTTGACTATAGCTAATACTTGCACGGGAATAACTTGAATAAGTACTTAGAGAGCTGGATATGCTGTCTAGATGTTTCTCGCATCTGCTGAGCTTGCATTTAATGCTAAGACGCATTGCTTAAGGTATAAACCAACCACCTTCACTTAAACACATCCGAGGACTGGGATCAGTAGAACGCCAATTCAAAATTATTTAACTCACTATAAACAAAAAAAAGCTTTTTTGAAAAAAACTTACAGTCGGTACACAGGGCAGGCTGCTAGCAAATGCGCTGAGTATATTTCTGTCTGGACACGTCAATGTTAAATTTAGAACCTAATGTGGCGCGTCATTGGCTCAACATCTCTCTGCAGAACACCACAGTCTAGATGGTGATGGTCTATAAGTAGTTCAATTAGCAGAAGTGGTCTCTTATAATGTGTTTTACTTTTCCAAGTGTGTCAGGCGTATATTCTTCTATGCAACCCCCTAGAATATGGTTAATTGAAGGACTCATTGAAGAAGAGATACAAGCTAGTTTTCTCTTTGTGCCAGCACCAAATAGCACATCGGCACTACTGCCACGTGCTCCACATAGCACCACTCAAAAATTTTATTCAGAAACGCCATGATGAAAAATAGCAATGGGCAAAGTGGATGGTTTAACCCAACACTCTCATGACTAGAGTTTTTCGTTACACCGGACGCACAGACAATAGCACAGAGGCTCTTACTTGCCGTCTTCGCACTCGCCATTATCTAGAGTTGCAACATGCAACATCTGTGCACCGGGACCCAGTGCATAAATCAGCTTTTCAGCAAAAATATGTCGCTTCTATTAATCAAAATATGCCGGAGGGAAAATGCCTGGTTATCCTATGCTTGGTAGTCTATAGAAATTCCTGTAACTGCGTTGATACGGCTGGCTTATTGTACACCATTCTGTAGAAGCGGCAGCGGGGCTTAACACTCATGAACCATGGAAAAGCGCAGACAGAGGACAAGTACTCCCACGAGCAAACTTAGTTTTGAAAATGTTGGAGCGATTTCCTTTTTCTCCGAGTATCATTTCTAGAAGTCATGCGCGGCGAATAAATATTTGTAGTACTTTAACCCAAATATATGCGAGTAACAACCGCCTCATACCTCGGCTATATAATGAAAATATACTAGAATTACAAGACTTTCGAAAAAAAGCTATGGCATACACTGCACGCCTTTTTATAGTAGATGCACGTTACGTACGTCAATGCGACCACTACCGATTCCTTTTCGGTGTGAAACTGTGCGTGCTTGTGTGCGTGTGTCTGTAAAACATGTTAAGATCAGCCTCCCTGGCTGGGCGCCGCTTGGACGCAGGGGACGATTGCAGCTAAGCCTACCCTGATTTGTTCCGGATGAACGCTTTTAAGGTGCGCCAAAAGTGGCGAGAACACGAAAGTCATACTTCGAATTCTTTAGGGCTTTTGGCTCCCCTTGTCGAATCTCTTTGGACACGCCTGACTGACTGATGGTCTAGGAAGAGCTGTTTGAAATCGAGGCTGCTTGATTTGTTCGACGTGCCACGAGACGCGCTGAACAATTAGCCGAGAGCTTGGGATCCCTGGTCAGGTATGTTTCCCACACTCTGTGGTGCTTGCAAGTCTTCCATTCTCACAAGCCCTAGCCTGCCTAGCGCTGCAGACCCTATTCTGCACATGTGATGCAATGTTATTGCACTATGATGTGTTGTGCGTATTATTGCGCTGTGACCTACGTTATGTTTCTCTCTCGCCGTGTGACGAACTGAATGTGCACCTTCTCTCTTTCCTGGGTTGAAAAAAAAGGCGGTGTTTGACTTCCTCTCTCTCTCGATTTTTAATGCTTATTCTCTGCGCCCGGCGCTCCCTGCTGGGCTGCAGAAATTAGGCGCCTTCTTCTGACCACTACCCCCCCCCCCCCCCATTTGGCGGACAGAGATGAAGACGACAATTTCTTCGGACTGCCCTGAACTGAATGAACATGCAGTCTGTCAGTTTACAGTGATCTGCAAGGCGGCTTTCCTGTAAGGTTGTTTTTTAACCAAAAACTCTCGTTCACAGACTGCTTTTATTTCTCATTTTAAGCACGTGAGTACAACAAAATGTCACCTCTCCAAATTCCAGCGAAGGCACGCGAGCACAACAAGATCTCAAAAAAAAAGGAATGGCAAAAACGAAATGAGTGAGAAAAGCAGCCCGTGAACGAGAGTTCTTGATTCAAAAACTAACCTTACAGAAAAGCTGCCTAGGAGATTATTGCAAACTGTCCATTGTTTTCTCCTGCAGAGAATTTTTTGAAGACCAGGGCGTAAAGCGCGAGCACCGAGACACTCTGAACCAGCTCTCAGAAGCTTCTATCAAGCTTCCATGATGCTACCATCAACGTATATATAATATTCATATGGATGTAAAACGGCATCATTAACAGTCCAAGATGGCAGCCTATGATCGTGCCCGAAACAGGGCGTATTCACAGAAAAAATGAAGTGGTAGCAGTGAAGCCCGAATGCAGCTCGTTAGGTGAAGAACTACACAATATTACATTTAATTTTTGTCAATTTGTCCAATATGTCATTTCATGCAGCGGCCGCCGAACTTGTGCCGCTGTTCATAGTGGTACTCTCGGTCTGCTGGATGAAGATAACTAAGAAGCCTTTTTTTTTTACTGGCTACATAAATGTGAAACGAAGCTGTAAATCAAGATGAAAAAGAAAAAGACAAATCTGTGCAAAGTCAGTACTGGCGCATAAATGGCGCGCCGATTGCGCTGATGAAAAATGTCGGCGGTGGCGGTGGCGGCGGCGGCGCGGCTAAAACTCGGCGGCGGCGCGCCGACCAGTCGGCGCACACCTCTATGTATGCTCAAGGTAGTGCTGCCATCTGAGAACGTAAAAGTAAAACAATCACATGCGCACACATTCAATCGGATAGTTGCGTTGCCGCCATTTGCTCAACCTGTTTTCTTTCGTCCTCTAAAGGTAAGACTTTTGGTATGTATTCGTGTCGAACAGCTCTACCTTGGAACTCAGGTGCTGTGCCGTCATTTAGCAATAAATTTATGAGGTGAATACTGTTGAGCAGATGCCGGAGAGCCTTGCGGATTGCCGTAAGGTCGCCGAGAAAATCGCGCTTTTTGTTCGCGTTTGAAGTGAGCGCATACGTTACTTTAGGAGGTTATATTTTTACCTTTCACCGCCACGATTTCTACGCCGCACTTGAATTTCCTGGTGCATTGATATGACGCCACAAGACGGTATAATTGATGTTTTAGGTAGCTTGTTCTGTTGATAACGTCTTCCGTGCTTCTTTTCTACCGGGAAGTCATGCCACTCACTCGTTTCATGCGTTCCATTACTTGACATCTTACTTTAATTCAATTAACAGAGTCATTGAGTTCGTTGCACTGCATCTGCCTTTTCGAGCCTACAATTTCCGAATGTTATTGGCTGCAACACAAGTGGTGTGAGCTGAGACAAATCCCCACTCCGAAGAAAATAGGGAATAACTGTAGGAAATGACTGCGTCACTGCAGTATGCGCATAATCAAGTTTAACAGGTAATGAGGCTTCTTAGAAAAAAAAATAAGACTGGCCACAACATTCGCTGACTGACTGAAACCTGACTGGCTTCAACACTCAATGACTCACTGTTACACTGACTTACAGAAATGCACTGAAAGCACTTGCGTGTGCCCGTTCCATTCAGTTCTCGAGTCCAGGTTGCGCGGACCATATCGCAAATTCTGATGAATCACCAACGCGCATAGCTGGAGGGTAGCAATGAGAGCGGACAGGGGGCTCAACTTTTCCTGCCGAAGATCTTAAAGTTTCATTGCGTACATAAGCGGGCACACATTCATTCTCGCGCACGAACATACAAAAATTGAGTTTGCCTGACGCCCCCCCCCCCCCCCCCCCAGAAAATATTTCTGGCTACACCCTTGTTTTTGAGCATGTGGACTTAACTTTCTCTTTTCTCTTTCTGAATACGCAGCCATCGATGGAGTGGGAACCGAAGAACGTTGGACACAGTAGTGACACTGAAGATGGAAGAGACGCTGGAACAGGAGCTTCCAACACTGACAAGATGTGGTGAGCTATTACGTTTCAAAAAGAGCACTTACTCAACTATGTCACCTGATGAAAAAGAAAACTTTAAAGGAACAAAAATATTTGCGCTTTATCCCAAAGGTTGTAGCTAAAGGAACATAAACTGCGAATCTCTTTTGTGTGCTGTTTATCTGTGCCATTTGCAACTTCAAATGAGAAAACGCGTCTTAATAAGGGACTAATTAGGCCAGGAGCAACGCAAAAACAAAAGTGCGTATGGCGCTTGTAAGAATGGCATCAATAAAAGTTAGGTTCTATTCTCGGGTTCAGTGACACACTATTATTATTATCATTGCGGTAGCAGTTATATGGACACTCTTTGCTGCATTTGCCGCTGGCGGCGACGTGGGCATCGCCGATGTCGCTGCAGTAGCGGGCATTCCTCTTCACTACATTATATATATAAGCGCAAGAAAAATCTAGAAAAATACTCCGGCGTGCAGAATTGAATGTGGAACTTCTGAATCGTGAATGCGAGGTGTTAACCACTGAGCCACCGCGGAACACCTCCTTTAACATTAAACAGCTGGCTATATATATCTACCACTCACCGCTGTTGGCGGACATCTCGGGGGGGGACTATCGTGCTTTCCGAATTATCAACAAGATGGCGCAATTAGCGCGCGGTGGCTCTCATCTCCCATGCGTAATTAGGCCCGTGGAGGGGAGCTGGTGGACGATCTCTCGCGCGCCCTTATCTCCTGGTGGGGGGGATGATACGTCTTGACTGGCGTTGGGCTTTTACTGAAAGGTTCTATTGTAGTTACCGGCCGCAGAAAGGTCGCTGTAATCGTTGCACAGTCTCCGTTCGCGAAAAGGGCAAGCTTTTCAGACACAGCGAAGTAACAACTGAGACGCTTATTCGCGTTCATAGGTACCTGTGAGTACGTTTCATGTGTCATTTCTGCTTGAAAAACGTGGGGCGCGTTTCGCTGTGTTTGCCATTCTGCGCATGACTTCCAATAACTTGTTATCGCGTTTATTGCTTCGCCCTTGCGGCAAAGCTGTGACTTATTATTTGATTTTGATACGCAGAGAGAGGGAAAATAGAAGGAAAACAGACAAGAAAAACAAAACAAAGAACGCAGCAGTAAACACAAATAAATAGGCAAGTTAATGGATGTCCATATATGCGGGGCCAATGGTGTCTTTTTCAAGAAAGCTAAACACACCAGGTATCAGGCGATACTCATCGTTGAATATTTAAGAACTTTATAATGTCTATACGTCACCGTGAAAGCAGACCTCGACGCCGTGCTGACATGTCTTATAATGTTTATTTTACCCGCAGGTGTTGTGCCAACGAAAGCGTGGTGCAGGAAGAGCCAGAACGGAAGCACACCATCGCCAAGAACCCCAAGTGCGAAGTGTGCGACAAGGTTTTGAACAGCCACGCGAGGCTCCAACGTCATCTAGCGACACATGCCGAGAAAAAGTCGCATGTCTGTCAGTGCTGCTCGGCGACTTCCACGCGAAAATGCAGCGTCTATAAGCACTTCTTCACTCACACCAGAGAAAAACGCCACGGCTGTCCTACATGTGGCAAAATGTTCGCCAGTAAATGGATTGTTATTCGCCACCTCCGCGTACACACGGGCGAAAAGCCATTCTCATGTGACTCGTGTCCCGCCAAGTTCTCCCTGAAGCAAACGTTGGCCAGACACCAGCTTACACACTCCGGGAAAAAGCCCTGGCAGTGCGACCTGTGCCAGAAGACGTTCAAACACAAGTTCGACCTGAGGCGCCACTCACGGGTGCATACCGGCGAGCGACCGTACGAATGCAACCTCTGTCCAGCCACATTTTACAGCAAGTCCTGCGTAAATAGACACATGCGGACGCACACCGGAGAAAAGCCCTACGAGTGTGGCGTGTGCGGCTTGAGATTTCGGGAGAAAGAACGCGCCAAGGCTCACCTTACCAGAAGCCATGGCCATCTAAGAGCTCGTGCGGGTGGCGTTGCCCACGAGGATCCTCTCATTACGGAGGTGAAACCTGAAGGGGCCGTCGGAAAGCTTCAACGGGTGGAGCCCGGAAAGAAGGGGACTGCGCAAGCCAAGAGATCTTCGCGTTAAAGGATATATTCGGGCGTCATCGAGTAGCAGCGATTCTCAAATGTCTTCGTTTCAGTCTGACGGAGAAACATGCTTCCCGGTGACCCTAAGACATGTTTGCACGACGCACACAGCGTGTTTTTTTTTGTTTTGAAGGCGAGCAATAAAGAAAGTGCGCATGAAGTCATTTACTCGCGATTGTCTCACTGCAGCGTATATTATATCCCATAATTCATGAAACTTCAATGCACTCCCTTCGCTCACAGTTGAGGGAGTCTTCCTTTTCATATCCAAACGTGCTTCAGTATATAAGGATCCTCGTTTAAAAAGCTGCCATTGGTCAGCAATGGCACCCCAACTATACAGGCCATGTCCTCGGATATATGGAGCACAAGCGTAGTATTCCCCCTTCATCTTGCATGCTTCTTTGTCATCGTCGTTGACATCTGTTCTTCGTGTTGTCACGCCAAATAACGCGTGGTGGCGTGTGCCGCTTCTCTGGCGCGGTCGTCAGAAAGTCTCGCAGGACGAAGTGAGAACGCACGAAACGGGTCTTTTGCATATATCAGTGAGGCGTGGATAGTTACCGAACGAACGCCGGTTCCGTCGAGGCTTGCCGTGATTTGAACGAAGTTGCTCACAAGTTATGACATTTGAATTGGTGACTGCGAACTGGGGAAGTATTTTGTACTGCATCAATGAATAAGGGGGATGAATATGCCTCATCATAGACGGAACATCGACCATCGCCGGCGTCAACACGAATAATGCAGGAAAAAAATAATCACATGGTGACGTCACCATGATGTCACGGATGCCAGAACTTGTGGCGTCATCAAGACATCGTCATACGTTTTGCAGCAAGTCACGAAAACCCTCGTCATGTACCGGCAGAATATAGTTGTCACTCCGTCTGAATCTGTGCCACCCTCAACTACGCTTCCTTGGCCAGATTAGCTTCTCTAGCATACCACTAAAATATCATGTCCGATAAGTGTGTTAAGGTGACACTGAAGTCAGAATAAAACAAGCTTTCGCTGATAAATTTTAGTTTGAAAACTCTACTTTCGATAATTCAACAGCCGATGGTTTGTTCACCGAAAAAAAATGGCAGATCCCACGTACAGGGATAATCGATGATATGCAAAGCACGAATAAGAAAGGTTGATATCTCAATTTAAAATCAGCACAACGTTAAGAGGTGGAGGTAAATGATGTCACACATGGCTTCGGTGTAATTATTATCATGTTGGATGTGTTGTTTACCTTTGCATCTATTCAGGTCACGTGATACCAAATTTTGTATATGCGGAGCTAGTGAAACGACCACGAGCACGCTATGAGCGTGGTATGATATCATGTTCGTACATGACACGCGTGTCAGGATTATCGTGTGTGCACCACTCGTATACTTTCGTCATCTACTGACGTCATATAATACCAAATTTGGCATATGTAAAGCTAGCGAAACGACCATGAGCGCATCATGAGGGTGGCATTTAGTCATGTTGTTACATGACACGGATGGCGTGATTACCATGTTTGTAAGTGTCATATACCAGTGTCGCCCATTCTCGTCG